ACTTCTTACTTCTTTTTAACATTGCCAAATTGTCCAGTGTTTACTAATTTTATAATTAGGTTATTTCAGAGTATTTTTCAAAAGCCTACATTGATCATGTCCTGATATTTCAGATGGCAATGTTTCTTTAAAATTTAAGCAGAAATTATAAGTTATCTATGCAGAATGTATTAGAATACTCCCTTCCTAAAAGGATTAGTGGTTTTGTAAAAATTAATTCTTCTTTTCAAGACTTTGCATGGAAAACTTGATTCATTTAATCCTTAGGAAAACTTGTTATTCCCATAGAGAACCAGTGCATGCATTATGTAACAAGTTGGCCTACCTAACCCTTTCTTGTTGAATGAGCTACCTAAATTTCCCCAGCACAGAAACGCTCTATTGCCTGAAATTCCCATTTTGACACTTATGCCTTTAGATATCATAGTTACCTTTTGAAAATTCATATATTACCAAGAAGAGATATAGCAGATTGTATTTTACAAAAATATTCACAGTAATATTTCTGATCTTATGTTCTCTTCCAAAAGCTTGTTAACTCTCCAACAAGAGATGGAGCCAATTTTCCTTTTCCTTGAACAGGGCTGTGTGTTTGGCTGCCTTGATCAATAAAGAACAGGTAACCATTGTATCATTTTCAAGACTAACTCATAAAAGACAGTCTGGCTTTGGCTGGCTCTTTTAATCCCTGCCCACTCCCCAGCTGAGGACATGGCTTAGGAGCTCAGCCAGTAAGCTTCAAGGAAGATAAATAGGCACAGAAAGTTACATGTAGGTGTTCTGGCCACAGCCTAAGCTGAAGCTCTGGATGACAACCAGTATGCATGAGTGAGTGAATGAACAGGCATTCGGAGGACTCCAGCTGTCAACCCCCAAGCCACTTTCAGTGACTGTAGGAAGAGACAAGCTGTATCCAGCATTTAAACTGTGGATTTGTTAGTAAAGCAAACAACATCATTTATTTAAGCCATGTGCTTTTGAATTAGGGTATCTTGTTTGTTCCTTTGATGCAACCATAGATAGCCACACCAGGATGAGCACAATTGCACGAGTTAGTTTCTTTAGATTAGATAGCCATTTTGTACTAAATGCAAGAACTGTGAGGATCACAGCGTGGCACAGATACTATTCAGTGTGGGGAAATGCCTTATCAAAAGCAAAGATTTTCCCACTCACAGCGACTAAAATTAGTGGGAATGAGAAGAGAGGAGGAGAGAGATAAGATAGCAGAGGGAGGAAAGCACATACTTTTCAGAGACAAATTATTTCAGTGTCCAGATTTACCTGATACTTTATAGGCTGCTGGGTTTTTGTTTGTTTGTTTTTGTTTTGTCTTGTTTTGTTTTGTTGCGGAACCGGGGATTGAACTCAGGCCTTTGTGCTTGCCAGGGAAGCACTTATTCCACTGAGCCATCTCCCCAGCCCCTTACCTGATACTTTAGAGGGTTAAGATTTTTAATAGACATGAGCAATGCTTAGTATACTCACTCCCATTTATTTTCAAGACCAATTCTCTCTGAGTTTTTGCAGACAGCCAATACCTTCAAGCTATCGATAGCAAAGTATCCAGCATCACGCCCACATAGATGAAATTTGTTGCAGAGGAAAATAATCTCTACACTGTACTCCTCTAAACTGTAAAAATGTGTGTTATCTATATCTTAAGGATATGGACTCACTGCCTTCAGGAAACTGCTATCACTGCTTCCTGTGTAATTCTTTCTCGGTGATGCAAGCATCATTCAACCTGAGGAGGAGATAAACAGAAAGGAAGAAGGGCTAACTTCCTTTACGTTCTCTGGCTGAGACATCCGTCTCATCCAGTCCTTCACCATCAGGGCTACTTGTTCTCAGGCCCCCGAACTCTAGCCGCACAACAGAGTTCCACCCACCCCTCATCCTCAACCCTTCCAATGCACACTGAAGTACACCTCCAGCTCTCTCGCTTCTCTAGCCTCTTTTTGTTCTGTAGCCTACATAGGCTAGACATTGGATCTTCTTGGGCTCTCTGACCACACAAACTTATCACAATTATTTCTTTTATGTATTTTTATTATTAATTTTATTGAGAAACAAATAGCAGTGCGACAGTTTCAAAATTGATTAATAGGACAGTTTCAATAATTAATACATTGCATATTGTTGTCTTCATAGTAGCTATTCATAGTTCAAGATGCAGACATGATATCCTGTCCAAACACTATTAGTACAAACTTTTCTTCTCATTGAACTAAGAGAAAGTAGCTGTATATCTATCATAACTATTTTGTATACATAGATGCAAAATGGTCCTACATTTGTATCCCCTCTTTTCTTTAGTTTTGTCAGAGTTGGGTATTCCATTGCCAGTTAAACAATTATTTCTTTTAATCACTCTGGTGAAATAAGAAAAGGAACATCTAGGGGATAATAGCAAGGCTGGGTTGTTCAGACTTGTGCTGGAGAAAATCACCTCACTCCTGAGATGGGAGTGGAAGATAAAGTTATACTCGGGAGAATAAGTGAGGAGAAAATTCAGCTGGACCAGAGACCAGCATGTTCATGGCCTCTAGAATTCCAGGGTAATCCAGGCCTCCTCTGATGCAGTACCCTGCTCCCCACATCAGACCTGACATACAACCCATCTTGAGAAAGCATTGGACTGAGGAAGCCCAAAAAAACCCCCAAAAAAAACAAAAAACCACCAGTGACATTCTGAGTTATTGAATAGAGGCACAGTCCCTCTGTCCTTCCAATCAGACTCTGCAAGGTGAGACATAACCAAGTCAGGGTAGAGAGAAGCCAAAAGCTGAACAGGACAGAACAAATTTCCATCAACCTGTATGCCCCCTTACTGTGCACTATAAACAGTAGTGCTCCAGCAACTGTAATCAGCAGGACATACTCACATCTTTCAAGAGCAAATAGCACTCCAACATGAGCACCTGGTAGAACACACCCTTATCTTTAAAAAAAAAGCTCCCTAGCCCCAGCAGGCAGCTTGATGCACCCACAGCAAGTAAACAATAGCACTTTGGCACAATGGCCAGCAGGATGCACCTGCATCTTATAAAAGAACAAAAGACTGTTTTGTTGGGGGGGGGAAATATATATGTGTGTGTGTGTGTGTGTGTGTGTGTGTGTGTGTGTGTGTGTGTATCTGCATATACAAGATAGTTAGGATAGATATGCAGCTACTTTCTCTTAGTTCAATGAGAAGAAAAGTTTGTACTAATATTGTTTAGACAATATATCATGTCTGCATCTTGTCCTCTGAATAATTATTAAGAAGACAACAATATGCAACGTATTAATTATTGTAACTGTCCTACTAACCTCTTTTGAAACTGTTTTATTGCTATTTTATCTTTTTTTCTCATTAAAATGAATTTTTATAAAAGAGTGCTCCACCAGTTTTTCTCCCTGTATCATTAAGAGAAATAAATTGGACAAGCATGCAAATATACTGTCTCTCTGGTGTTAGAAATCAAAAGTGTAAATAAGGATCCAAAAAGTATAACAGATATTGTAAAATAGGAAAAAATTGCTCAAAAAGAAAGGGGAACTAAGGAGGAGGGATGGGAAAAGGAACAAGGGGCAAAGAAAAAACAAAACAAGAAAAGAAAGCTAAAATGGAAACAGCCTTATATATAAGGAGAGGAAGAGGGGTTGAAGGTAGGAGAGGCTAACAGGAGAAAAAGAGGAATCAAAGTATGTTATATACAGGTACAAATTCCCTATGATGAGTGGAATCATTATGTATATCTGAGTGGTACCAATAAACTAAATAATAATAAAATACACACACACACACACACACACACACACACACACACACATACAAAGAGTGCTCCTGCACAGGTGGGCAGCAGGACGCTAGGAAGAAAGAAGTAATAATAAAATATACAAAAGAAAAAAAGAATGCTCCTGCACAGGTGAGCAGCAGGACGCTAGGAAGAGAGAATTCTTGTCTGACGCAGGAAATGAATTTGCTCCCATACAAGAGGAGTGTTGCATAAGGAGCATTCAGGGCCCTACTGGTAACTGCCAGGGTCCCCCAGCAGGGCCTAACTGGGGACTGCAGAGGACCAGGAAGACCAGATCTCTGATAAATACCTTAAAGAGAGTCCAGCAGGGAAGATCTATGAGAGCAGTTAACTGGTGCCCAGAGTAGACAACTCAGCACAGGAGGAGCAGGAGAGGTGCTGTCATACATTTCCATGAGAACTAGATGAGCAGGAGATGGAGTGAAGGCCTGCCTACCACTCCTCACTGACAAAGGGGCCTCTCAGCCCAGCCTGAGGAACCAGGCTTTGTGGGAGGATGAGATGACAGGCTTCTTCAGGCAGACTAAGACATAACAGCTCCTGGGATGGTAGATTTTTGGGCCTACGTTAGACAAGAGAAGACCATGGAGGAAGACACTGGAATGTTCAAGATGTTTACCCTGCTCTGGTCAATTAGGGCAGTCGGATACACAGGGGCCTACAGGGGTCGTGCCTGAGGCACAGCTTGAAGCCCTCACGGAGCAGGACAGATAACTGGCCCACAAAGACTGCCTGAGGAATTAAAAATCAGTCACGGTGTAGAGTGAGTTCCACAGAAATTCACGGTTAATGATACAAGAACTGTCTGAAGTTTCTGGTTTTTATTTCTTTTTTTAAGTGGGTTGTTGTAGGTATTGTATGTTTGTATCTTTGTTGGATTTAGGTGAGCTTGGCCATTTTTCTTTCTTTTTTCTCTCTTAATTTTTTTGTTTTTTAGATTGCTGCTTCTTTACTGGTATTTTGTGGTTATTATACTTTAATTTTCAATTTTTCCTTTCAGCCTGCTCCTTATTTTAGTGCCTCTCTCCAAATATTGAACTCTTTGCTCCCTATTTTTTGAGCCCATGTCTATTGTCTCTCTTCCTTACCTTCAACTTCCTCCTGTCCATCTACCCAGTGGCATTGATATACCAGAGGCTTGAATTACCCAGATCAATAAATTAAACAATACCATTGAAAGGAATACCGGGGTAAACCCCAACAAAACTGGCTTAGTGTAGCCAAAGCAAACACATCATTTCCGTTGACATACTTCTCTCTTTTCTCCTTCCCCACTTCTTCCCAGGCCCCACATCTCAAGAGAACTACACACAGCAGTATAATATAGCCCAGAAGAAGTATTAGTAAAAGGGTAGAGTTCCCAAAATAATTTTTTATATTTATGATTGAGGTATGCTTTGTTTTGTGGATAATACAATAATGAATAGAAGGCTGGGTATACAGTTCAGCGGCAAAGCAATTGCCTGGCAAGCAAAATTCTTTTAAATATTAAACAGAATTTTTCTAAATAATTAGGAGAAAGGGGGCCAGGGAGATGGCTCAGTGGAATAAGCACTTTCCTGGCAAGCTCAAGGGCCTGAGTTCAATCCCCAGTTCTGCCAAAATAATAATAATAATAATAATAAATAATAATAATAATAATAATAATAATCAGGAAAAAAGAATTCATGAAAGGACTGTTTCTGATGAGCAGCAAAGAGCTGCGCTGAGATTTGGTGTCCAAACACTGGAGTATAGCAACGTGAGGAAGAGAAGAAAGAAAAGAAAGGGTCCCTGAAACCCAGGAAGATTTTGAAGTGAGAAAGAAGTAAAGCCTGCTGGAAGAGTGAAGAGGAAAAATTCAAGGAAGAAAAAAGAGGAGGTATGCAGGACTTCCTCCCTGGGCCCGGATTTCTCTCTGGACCTGCATGGGAAGGGCGGCTTGAAATTGCAGACGCATGGTGACCGCTGTTGACGCCAGAGTGAGGTGGACACAACAGACTGCAGTGCATGCAGGGGAATGCAGTGACTGGCAAATTGTCCCGTTTGGACCTCTTGCAAGGGGGCTGTTTGGCTGAGGGCCAGACTAGAGAAAGACCAAAGGACTTTGGGTCCAGGGTGGCTTCTGCATTCTTCTAATGGCTTCTAGGTGAGTTCAGACCCACCGCAGGCCTGGGACAGCAGCAGGCTGGGTGGGTCTGCTCACAGCCCTACAGCCTGAAGCCAGCCTGGACTTCCGTGAAAATAGAGGTAAGACTTGCGGGGCCGTCCTCCACACCACTGCGGAGCCCTGAGGGCGTAGTGGGACAGACTGACATGGCTCTGTACCGGCCCATGCTGGCTACTAGCGGCAGCGGAGACACGCCTCAACATGGAAATTTTAAATTTTATTTTCTGATTTTTTTTTTTATTTTCTTACTCTCTATTTTGTTTGCTTTTGAGTCATTGTTTGTTCTTATTTTTTATATGAATGTGAACATAGTTTTTTGGGGGGGTTGTTTTGTTTTTCTGTTCTCATTTTTATTTCTTCTCTCTTTCCCTCCTGTCTGTTGTACCATGTTCCTAAAGTTGGTGTGATACTCATTTCTCCTCTAGCCTTGTTTATAATCTCTTCCATTTCTTTTTTTTTCCTCTATATTTTCCCTTAATATACTTGAAATTTTCTCCCTGAGAGTAAAATTGCCATACTGAAGGCTTATTTGTGATACACAATTTTCTGGCTCCTTTTTTTTTTTTTTTCGGTACCGGGAATTGAACTCAGGACCCTGTGCTTGCCAGGCAAGAACTTATTCTACTGAGCTAGGTCCCTGTCATTTCCTTTTAATTTGTTATATAACCATAAATCTAATTCATAGGGTTAAAGGTGGCAAATTAATAATTACCTCAGTTTAACTTTTTCTAGGTTGTATTTGATGCAATTGTTATTGCTGATTGTACCTCTTCGGCCAAAGTATCATCACTGCTCTAACCCATTGTTCTTCCAATTATACCAAGACTGAGATTGTCTAAGAGTTATGAAAAATACTATAATCCAGTGCCAAAGAACCAGGGGTATACCAAGTCAGCAGCAACTTCTCATCCCCAATATACTGAAAAGGTAGAATCTTGTAACAGACTCAAATCCCAAAAGCCAGCTATACCCAGAAGATACCTCTGAGAACTAGTTATTTCCTGATGGTTTTAACTACTAGGAATAGAGCTACTCACAACATGCAATTTACAAACACCAACCTAGAAATTAAATTTTTAAAAACATAAAATGAGAAGACATTTAAACAAGATACATGGGCTGGGGAAATGGCTCAGTAGAATAAGCACTTGCCTGGCAAGAACAAGGGCCTGAGTTCAACCCCCAGTTGTGCCAAAAAAAATAAAAATAAAACAGCAAAGAGAGCTCACTTGACCCTTCCCCATGTGAGGACGAAGAAATGAGGTACTCTGCAACAGAAACAAAGACCCTCACCAGAACTGATCATGCAGGAAGACTAACATCAGACTCTTAGCCTGTGTAAATATGAAAAATAAACAAGATACACCACAGATGTTATGCTTCCAAAAGACCCAGGAAACAATGAGGTGGGCCAATTCAAAAGTCACCCAACTTGGCTCTCTGAAGTGATAACACCTGAAGTAACAAAGCAGAAAAAAAGGAGCTCTAGAAAACCTCCAATCAGGACAAGGGATATAGCTTAGTGGCATAAGTGCCTGCTTCAAAGGTACAAGGTCCTGAGCTTCAGTTGGATCCCTGATACCATGAAAGAAAGAGATTCAAATCAGAAATAATTTCATAGACAATTACAGAGCTAGTGTATAATGAAATAAGTGCTTCATGACTCTATTGCAGATACAGATTTTTAAAAAGGGGAAGAGAAGCTTAGAAAAAATGGAACCTATGAATACCCAACACAGGAAAGAAATGGAATCCATAAAACAGACTCAAACAGATATTCAGGAGATTAAAAATTCCATCATACACAACAGAATTGAGAAATATACGGATAGAATCTTAGAAATAGGAAATAGGAATATGGTTAGTGATCATTAAAAATACTCTTAAAAAATAACAAGGGACCATAAGAAATCAATCCACCAGTTACTAGATGATGCAAAGAAGAATAATACAAGATTAACCACAAATGACACAAAAAAAAACTGTTCACAGGCATTTTAGTAGAAATTTTCTTTGGCAGGGAAAAAAATTGACATAAAGAACTCCAATTAGCCATGATTTAAAAAATCTACTACAGAAATGACATAGTGAAGATTCCAGGAATGTAATGAAAGAACATAATACAAAATACTAGAGAAAAGAAAACAAATCACCTCTAAAGGAAAGCCCATAAAAATTATGACAAACTCCTCAGAAAAAAACTCTCAGTTCAAGGTTTGCTTGAAGTGAAGTATTTCAAGCACTAAAAGAAAACAATTTCTAAACCAGAGCCATGTACCCTGAAAAACTAACTTTCAAAATTGATGGCAAAATAAGAGATTCCTATAATAAAGAACACCTAAAGAAATTTGTGGGACCAGCCAAATAGCTTTGTGGATTAAAATACCTGCAAGCAGGTGCAGGGGCCGGGGATTCGATACCTGGGCCTGCCATGCCAACCCCGCTCCCAGGGCACACTGAGATGGCAATTGAGACTGGGCATGGTGGCACATGCTTGTAATCTCAGCACTTGGGGGGCTGAAATCAGGAGAATCACTTTGAGTCTGATCTAGTAGTGAGACCCTAAACATCCTCTAGACCCTTCCCTAAAAATACAGAAAGAAAAAAAAAAAAAGAAAAGTGAAGAAATTCAGGGGCTGGTGAGATGGCTCAGTGGTCTAAAGCACCTACTTAGAACAAGCTTAGCAAAGCACAGGGAC